TCAACAACGACAACAAGCCAAACAGTCTTCTTACAGGTTTGCGATGAATTCTTCCTGCACTTCATGTCGGCCGACCCCGTTTCATTGGTTTCACAGCTTGAGACTGCTCATGTTTTTCTTCATCAATTCATGGACAGCATAAGTAAGAAAGTTACATTCAAGCAGACGGATATCAGCTTCCTACAACAATCACTTCGGCAAATTCCGCGAACGTTCGATCATAAGCAGGCTGGATCCATCTTCCGCACTCCTGCAGCATCAACCATCATTGTGCATGAGGCAACAACCATACATCATAACTGTAAATAAGATTGGCATTGTTACAGAATGTGGTTAACAAATGTGTTCCTTACTTCAAAGCAAAGAGCGAAGTATCAGTCAATTGGGCAGGAATTGATGTGTTAGAGCTTGATTACATACGAGATGACTATGATGTCGATTCAACTTCACCTATCAGGTAGGATAGTTTGAGTATCTTCATTCTCTCATTCCATTCCAGCTATTACCTCACAATTCTAAGCAGTTTTCTCTGTTTAAGGATGTATTTTTAATTACAAAACCAGTTATGTAATCCATAAAGAACGTTATCCTTCTTTCCTCCAAATCTGTATGTGCTTATCGAGAAGCATCGAAGACGAACGAAAAAAAATGGAAAAAACGAAAAAAAACGTTCCTAAATCATTCTGTCAACAGAGCCATTTGTCATCATAGTCTCTAAACAGCAGTCATCTAATAATTTTCCGACACATTTTCCATTTTAGGCGATATGCAAATGCTTTGTTTTAACATGTTGCCAACCGCCCTATCCCCTTGTGGCTTCTTCGTAAAGCGGCTAATGCTTTTCACTCAGGAATTAGTTCATTTTAACAATTTGTTAAAAAGTCAGAATTAGACATATTCATAGCTTTTCATCTATTTCCCGCTCTTTCAAAAGCATTGGGTTCTTCCACTATTCATCCAAGCTTCTCCTTTACCAATGAGACAGGAGACAATGAATTTTCCATCTCAGAGTCATAGTGTTCGCAACGAAGCTCACTCCTCCTCATATAAACCAATTAATAAAGCAAAGTTTATGACGTTTAATGAAAAAACTGCTGCACATGTGGATGAGGCAAGATGATCAAACCGTCGGAACACCTACTTCTTCCCATCTTCATTCAAATCGTTTCAGTCTGTGTGCGCTAATTCAAATCTGCTTCACTCAAACCACTAACTGTCAGCCAAACGTTTTCATCTGAGCCACCGAGCACAACAAGTGGAAAGACTGATAGTTAGCTTATTCTTACTAAGTCAGACAAGTCTTACAATCATATGCGCTAAACGAAGAAGAAGATCCGCCTTTTACCGTATGGAAGAGCCAATGCCGACATCAAACCGTCTCCAGGGAATATTAGGGCTTTTTCGGATTCATAAAATGTAATTCAGTTTTATGAATTGTTCATCAGCATGTTCGCTTCTATCGACGCTCTCCTTTGTTCAGAATCTTCAGCTACTCCAACTTCATCATCTTCCTCACCTCCGCTTATCAACGTTGATGAGAGCAAGACGAAGAAGGAGTTCGCTGCCATAACGACTTCTATTCCTAATAATTCAACTAATTATTGTTGTTCAACTACCTCAGTTTCATCTCCAGCACTCTGCACTGGATCAACAGGTTAGCTCATCTTGAACAGTTTGCTTGAGCTTATCAATATCTTCAGCACTATCACTAACCTCTCCTATCACTCTCGATTCTATGACTTATCCTCTCATGACTACCACAGTTCCTTTCATTTATGATCAAATTGCTTTGACATGTGAGTTTCAATCATTGACACTCATTCATACCATCATATCAAATACAGTAGGTGCATGGCAAACGTGGGGTAAGATGCGAAGACCCCGGACGGCCTTCACCAGCGAGCAACTCATTGAGTTAGAAAGGCAATTCGCTGACAACAAGTATCTGAGCAGACCCCGACGTTATCAATTGGCTCAGCAACTATGTTTAACAGAAACACAGGTATAGCTTAACCAGCGCAATGATCTGATCAAAGTGTTCAGGTGAAGATTTGGTTCCAAAACAGACGGATGAAAAACAAGAGATGCCAACTTCCACTGGGCCAACCGAATGCAGCAAAAAATGAGTGATTGTCATCAAACTTGAAATTACCAAATAAAGCTTCTCGTTCTTAACATCTAGTACGGTAGTAGGCAACGCATAATATTCGCCCAATGATACATCAGCAACTCTCCAAAGACTTACTTGATGACGAATAATAGAATAGCTGTCGGCAGAGAAGAGCGAAGAAATAGATTTTAAAGACAAATATGCCTAAAACGTTTCCGGAAAACAGACAAAATTTCATCAACACGATTTTTTACTACATTCCATGTAACAAAACTGTGGTCAATAACAAAAAGAACAATTGAGAAACTGCTCAGAAACAACAAGATCAGGAATTAGCTGGTTTCGCATTAACGTTTTTGTGAATGTGTGAAGAAGTTATTAGATAAGAAGTACAGCGTTTATACAACCATCGTTCTCGGGGTTATTTGTAACTTGAGCATACTTTCCCCAAACGACCTGAAAACATACTCATTGCATCAAACGACTCTCATCCAAACTATGCTTACCTTTCCTCCCTGAGTTACCATACCTAATTCTGACACATTAACTTCAATAATTGTACCTTTAGTAATGACACCTGATGAAGAGAACGATGAGACTTATGAACTAGCAATGACAAGAACTCACCTAAGGATGTATACATTTGACTGGATGGATTTTTCTTCACTCCACAGATTGGTAAATGGAAAGTTGTTTGCAACTCTGGATGGGTTACGTGAGCCTTATTAAAACGTAAGCCCATAGGTCTGATAAATCTCTCGAATTTGGCTGGCTTACGTGTGAAGGATTCTCCAACATAAGTAACCTTACAATAGATGACATTGAAAATGTGTAAAGCTAAGAATATGTACCTTTGTAACCATACGCTTCCAACCCTTTCTTCTGGTCTTTCCTGTCTTGACAACTTTGAAGGCTTCAGCGTCACTCACAGCTCTCACTTGTGGAATAGGAACTTGATATTTTCCCTGGGAAAAACAATGATATTCGGATAAAGCATTTCAGAAGCTTACAGCTTTTTCCTTTCTCTTCTGTTTGATCATATTAGACAAGACAGTTCCTGTAGTTTGTTGCTGACGATCGAGGAGATAAGCTGGAACTGCACCCTAAACATGAAAGTGTCTTGAGCAGTTGTTGGAAACTATAACCTTGTCCAGAGTGTCAACTGTGCTCTTCTGTTCTTTCTCTTCATGTTGTTTAAGCAACTTGCGCATTTCAACCTAAGTTTCATAATAAGCTTGTTCAAATGTATTGTTTAAAACCTTCTCTGAATATCTCTTCTTATGATATAACTTAGCCTTATGACCTCTCAGCTTCTTTGCCATCTTAGAACGTTCATGGCCGGAACGGGCCTCCTTCTTACGACTATAATAAAACTATAATTTCAAAAGGAAGAAGTAAATAGCTCACCGTCTCTCTTCATAGTCCATACGACGTCCATATCGCTTGCGATGTAAATCAATGTGATCGTTCTGCGGCTGAAATAAAAATATTGAAACATGGTTCTTTAAAGCTAAACGTACCATTCTGAGTTTTACCCTTCGTTAGGATTTTTGAAACCTACAAACATAAGAATTAGTATAAAACATCAGTAACATTTATAGGAACATAATTATATACAAAAAAATATTAATAAAATCAATTTCAAAAATAAATATTTGATTTTCCGTATTTTCTAAATTGAGTTGCGAAGTTTTCGGCACATGTTAAAGGGCGGATGTAAACAGGTCTTATAGCGAAACTGCGGTTTATTCAGCCGCGAAAATATAACATTCAAAAGCTACATTAATTAAGGTCAAATATACAGAAATTTTAATATTTAAGTAACTTCGTTTCCTTTTTGATCTTATGAATGCGTTTTGCGAATAAAAACTTATATTTTGAAGAAATGAGCCGTGCGAAGCTTGATGAGTCGCGTACAAGCAACTTCAAGGAACCCCAGAACTACTGGGGATTTGCAAACTTCCCGAATCAAGTATTCAGAAGAGCTATCAAGAATGGTTTTGATTTTACTTTGATGGTTGTTGGTATGTAAATGCTGCATTAACTTTAAATGGATGGCATATTGAAGGTCGTAGTGGTCTGGGAAAGTCTACCTTCATCAACACCCTGTTCTTAGCTGAAATCAATGATGTTTCGGATTATGCCCCTGAATTACCTGCTTCTACAGTTAGAATTGAAGAGAAGCATGTAAGTGTTTCATATTTTTTATTGGTTATTTTTTTTTGAAGGTGAAATTGGTCGAAAACAGTGTTACTCTGAATCTCACATTGGTTGACACTCCAGGGTTTGGTGATGCTGTCAATAACTCAAAATGGTAGTTCTTTGAAAATGGTGTTGTGTTGGAATAATTTTGTTTTTATAGTTGGGATCCAATAATAAAATACGTGGAAAGCAAATATTTGGAATTTTTCTCAGAAGAAATTAGAATCGAAAGAAGTGAGAAATGGGTTGACAAGTGTGTCCATCTTTGCTTGTACTTCATTGAGCCATCTGGACATGGGTGAGTTTTTGTGAGAAATGACCAAAACGCATTCTTTTTAGTCTCAAGCCAATTGATATTGAGTTCATGAAACAACTCAGTGGACTCATCAATATTGTTCCTGTTATCGCTAAAGCTGATTGCCTAACCAAGGAGGAGTTACTCCGTTTCAAAGCTCAGGTAATATATTAGATGTATCGTCGAGTAGCTTATGATAATATTTTAAGATCAATAAGGATATTGAAGCCAACAGCATTAAGTTGTACAAGTTCCCAGATGGGGATGAGGATAATGAGAAGATAACTCATGATCTCCGTAATAAGCTCCCATTTGCCATTGTTGGAAGTAACATGATCAAAGACAAAGATGGCAAGAGAGTGCGATACAGGTTGCTTTCCGCTGTGCATCATATCAATCATATTTTGATTTAAGAGAGTATCCTTGGGGGGTTGTTGAGGTTGAAAATATGGCTCACAATGATTTCATTGCTCTTCGTGATCTCATTGTTCGGACTAACTTGATCGATATGATAGATGTAACTAGATCTGTTCATTACGAAAACTATCGTTATCGACAAATGGAAAAACTACCTAAAAACTCCGGTGATCGGTAATTGAATATTTGTGTTCATTAACACTGAACATTGATTTCTAGGGATCCATTCACTCAAATGGAAGAAGAACGAAGAAATAAAGAGAAAGAGTTAACTGAGAAGAAAACTAACATGGATAAAGTACGTTTCACTTAAATAACTTGTTAATGTTCTTGGAGTTCAGTTGTTCGACGAAAAAGTTCGCGAAAGGGAGAACAACATACAAAAAAGGAAAAACGATGTGAGTGCATTCCTCTGTCTCTCAAAATATGTATATCATTCAGATGTTGAACTTTGAGAAGGAACAACAACAGTGTCTAGCTTCAAAGAAGCAAGAACTTGAGAGATTGAAAACTGAGGTAAACTTTTGATCGCTTGAACGCTGTACCTTCCCCTTCAGGTCGAAGATCTTCGCCGCGGATCTAGCAGTGACTCAAAAGTTTCGTTACAAGGGAGTAATGAAAACGCAAATCGCACAAGCCCGGACAAAACTAAGAAACGGATTGCTACTTTGGGGTTATGGAACCGTAACTAGTGTGTAATGATTGTACTTTCGGTGGAAACTGTAACTTGCGAGCCAAATTAACTTACTTACTTATACCTTCAAGCTAATATGTCAGTACGAAATGAAATATTTATGTTAATAAGGGTTTACATGTAAGAAAATGCTTCAGTCGTGAAAGCTACGCGATCTCGGAGTTGAGCATTCAGTAAACCTTGTTCCAAAACTCCAATTTGTACATTCATCCGGTCTATATCTGATTCCATTTTCGCAAGTGCTTGTTTTATCTTGACCATTGGAGCTGAAATCAGATTCGTAGCATCTGGCTCTACCGATTGTTATACCTCCATCACTCGTTTTAGCTCCTTGCTCTTCTATTTGTTGTTTCAATTGTTCAATATCATCCGATATCCTTTGTAATGTTTCCGTTCTTTGAGTAACTCCCCCAGATGCGGATCTGTTTCATAGCTCATTAACCATACATCTTCTTACTTAACGGTGTTTACTTGTATTTCTCCTTCATTTCAGCTCTTCTATCCTGAGCCTCTCGAAATTTTGCTAGAACATTGCTCATTTGGTGGTTTAAGCTTTTCTCTCTGCCATCTATACGTTCTAAGGATTGTTGTAAATCCACGTAGTACTGAAAAAATGTTTTTTTCATGGCTTTTTCAATGGAACTACCTTTTCCAGTTGAGGTGTTGTTTGTTTGATTGAAGTCTCTATAGTCTTCTGGAACGAAGATATCTGCTCCAAATGCATCCGCCAATCCTGAAACATTAAAACTCAGAAGATGTTACCAAGAAAGAAATAACTTTAGCATCTTGTCGGATTACAACTTTGAGCATTGGTGTGACTCGCTCCACTTCTGTCTTCCATAAGTTGGCGTCGATATCACTGTGCAGAATCGTTTGGATAGGCTGTTCCTGAGAGGTTCATTTTAAACTTTGCAAAAAGAAGGTAAATACTGTTGTAGATGGAACAGCTAGATCAACAATTTCCGGATCGTCGTCGTCATCGGCCCAATCTGGTTCGGAATCCTATAAGGAGCGGAACAAAGGTCAATGAAAAAGAGTTAAAAAAGCGAACTTCGTTATCTGTTTCTGGGTCTTCGTCATCTTTATCAATATCGACGTCTTCGTCTTCAGTTGGAGGAGGTATCATTCTGAAGTTGAGGTTTGATTAGAGAGACGGATGAGTTGACTGGTTTTCACAAACCGTTGCCATTGAAAATTGATGTGGATCAGAGCTAAATCTGCCAAGCTGTCAAGTACATATAAGGCATTCTCTCCATAACCTTGCCTTAACTTGTTAGCGGAGAAATCAACAACGATATCCTGCAAAACAAAGAGTTAGTGGCGTGTGGTGTGTTTCATTTGGAAGAAGCATGAGACTACAACTACAACCATCTATCTCATGGAAGATGTGAAGCAAATTATTTGAGAAATCATCAATACGTTGATATAAGTGAAAAACACGTCCAAATATGGTTCTCAATTCCAAAAATTATGCAATTTTCGGCAATATTGTCCGCTAAGATTTTAATCGAGCGCAATATCGCCTCTAATGATCTTTCTTGAGTATCGAGGATTGTATTTGAAACAAACATTTCTTTGAGAAAAATTCCAGCAGACAACGTTCAGCGAAATCTCCTTACCCCTATTCGTTCACCTTCATATCAATCTCTTATACTAGAAAACGTTGACTTGTAAATTTATGACATCATTCATAACACATCCATATCAACCGCCATATGCAATGAATCTATTAGGAGGTTCGTTTGTTCATCAAAGCTTGTCTCATGGTGATTAACTGCTTTTCAGCTCCCAAGTACAGTCGGTTGTTACTTCGATTTCTTTTGGGTCTGTTCTGTTTCCTGGTTATCATAATTACTTGTGGATTAACTGTATTCGATAGACAACATAACAATATCATCCAAGACTACATGGCTAGAGAGGATGACATGGTCATCTTGTCAGCCACATTTTTCAAAAACTCAACAGCGTTAGTAGCTTGAAGGATCAACACTAATTAATGAGATCTCATTTCAGTTATAAGCCAAACACAGTCGTCTTACTACTTAATGCTCATCAAGTTTTTTATATGAAATACCCATATATCTTCATTTCGTACATAAATGGATCGAACTACATTCAAGCACCTTTCAAGTACAACAGTCTCTGATTGCTCTTTTGATACTTTGTTTTCATTCCAGAATAGAACAAGTTATCGGGCAAACACCGTTTTACTGCAAATGGGTTCCCTACTTGGCTATCGGCCAGGTGCCTGACAATGCCACATCTGTAGATGTTCTAAATGATATGGGCAATAGCTTCCAGGTTCTTACTTTTTTCTCTTGTCATCTATATTGTTGCGTTCAGATCAATTTGCGAACGCCTTACAATGAAGAGCATGATGTTGTCGTTTGTTTCACCCCTCTCTTCATGAACGAGAAATGGCAACTGATGCTTCTATCAGCAGAAGTTTGTTTTGCTTCAAGGACTTATGACAGATACTATTATTCAGGTTTATACCCATTATGGAGCTTTTATGCATTTCTATGTAAGAAGCATGATAACAGACTTATTTGAACTTCTTACACTTTACAAGAATTCAAGAATCACAGCTTGGCCTGGTGTTCGCTTAGGTTGTTCAATTTCAAACCCTCAGATTTAAAACAGATATTCGCAGGCCATGATAGAGCATCCGGGCCAACTTTTGATCCTAATCTAGAACTCGAGTTCAGAAATCAAGCTTCAGCCATGACTGATTGTCTTCTACGTTATAAGGTACGATTAGGAGCAGAGATCATTAACATAGGTTGACCGCTGATCTTTCAGGAATCGGCCAAGTATATCATTTTCCCTGATCCCGATGATATCATTATACCTCGACTAGGCGACAGAACTTATTTCGGAGAATTTCAGAAGGTTCTATCATATAGGAAAAAATGAATGAAATTTTGTGTTTGAGGTTTTCGTTCATTTCCCCAATGCCGCAGTGATTGCCTACAACATGTCTCAGGCTGCACTATCTGCAGGTATTTGAGAATTATCTGTAAGATTCATGATTCAAATGCAAATCATAGGAAGTTCTCCTGAATCATTCTCTATTCCATCAACTTTAAAATCAATTCACTTCAAAGGAGAGACAAGGTGAGAGGTTGTGTCAGCTCTTTCTAACTTGTCTTTTGAGATGGGGGAAGCTGGTGGTCAAGCCAAGCTTAGTTGATAGCGTATGGATTCATGAGAGTTATGGAATCAAGAAAGGTTATACACAGGTTCATAAGACTGTTCATTCGTCTTTCAACGATATTCTTGTTCAGTATAGTCTTCCTGTATACAATAACTCAATCATACATCTTCGATACTGGAAGGAGAATAACGGTTTGAAGGCGAAAACTCTAACGATCCCCAAATATGATCCCTTATTACTCAAAAATGGAACAGAGGAATTAATTCCACAGAAAGACATAGATCAAATAGAAAGAACATTCGCTACTCGCATGCAGGTTCCATCACCAATAGGAAATGATTATCTATGGCTAACTATTACAGATGCGATTAGCCACTTATCAAAACATGTCGAGCACACCTCTCTATTATCCACTTATTGAAAAATGCTATAATAGGATATTCTACAATGGAGAGCATCATGGCACATGCAAGGTTGGTGATTATATTAAATTATTTGAAAATTAATCATTGATCTTTCTAGGGGCCTGAGCTGTGCGATATCCCCTCCTTCCCAGGGGTGCGATGTGTGAATGTCATCAACACATTCGAAACTTTACCAAACTATAATAATATATATGTACATCATCTCCTCTCATATACATTCGAGCAGTCATACGATGGTTGTAGAGTTTAGAATGTGACACCCGTCCCTCTCACTCTCCCCCCTCTCTCACTCTCTCTCTCTCTCGTTCTCAAAACAATCAAACATATCATGTACTACTAACCTTCGATCGTAATTCTGCTAATATATTAGAAATAGTAGAGTTTGGATCATCGAACTAAAAGAAGAATTATTTACGAGTCAATAAATTATTCAAATGAGGAGTGTAACCATACCTCTTGAGGCATTTCAAAACTCTCGTTACCAGCTTTCCGTATCAGCCACCCAGCTAAACTAGTAAACAAGTAAAACTGTTCACCAACATTCGTAGATGATGTGAAGTAATGTCTGCGAAGAAAGTTCAAATGGATGAGGATAGTCGTAGCCGGCTTGCTCACCTCTGGATTGGCCGGAAGTTTGCGCTCAGAAAACCGTTTTCATAGTTTAATAACTTCAACTTGTCAAGCAACTCTTCATTTTTTTTGAATATCTCAAAAGCTTTCCCTGGGCCGTCAGTGGAGCCGTTACCATCGACGGAGTTGTTTGCAGGTTCATTAGCTTCATCATTACCATCCATGCGAACTTTGTCTCTGAATGTGAAGGCTTGAGTTGATGGCAGAAATGGAATATCAGTAGTGCACAACCGCTTCAACCGTAAGCTGTCTCAGAAATGATTTCAGAGCAGACAGTAGTAAACATCAAGTAAAACAGATTTCAAAACAAAAATAAACTCAAACGTTTATTAACTATCAAAGAAATAAAAAGGAAAACGAAGAAACCAATAGAGCATTCTCATTATGTGAGGTGTCCTGAGCCCTTCACGCAGTCTGGTTTCGGCCGTTGCCATGGTGATGCGTAAAATAGTTTTATTACAAAGAGTATGAGGATGTTTTGAGGAGGTATTGTTTACGAGATATTCCATCGACAAACAGATCGGATATGATGAAACATCAACTTGATGGGAAAGAGGGAATGGAATGTTCGGATTTTTCTTGTTTTGCCATAAGTCGCTCTGTATCGATCATTGTTCTAAAATTGTTGGTAAAATCGTAGAGAGATGCCTTCTTCACCCTCTCTCTCGTCATAAGGCATTAGAACATATGCTGTTCTTCTGCTTCTTCTTCGATTGAGGTCGGCCCATTCTATCTTCCCAATCTAACTCAACTAAAGCGTCAGTCGATTGACGTACTTTTACGTATATGTGCTTAAAAAAGCAATTCTTGAAAAATAAAAACATGTTGTCTCATTAAGCTATAACCCAGCTTCTCACACTGCTTTCCAATCTGATTAACCTACTTTGCTTCTAATTTCCGTTCGAAAAGTCATTTTACATATTTAAGGGGTGGTGAAACCAATGATGCTAATTTGCATATTGATTTGTTTGCTTAGCTTTGCTCCGGAACTAGTCAATGGAGCTGCACCAACTAGTGTTGTTTTAGATTTGAATGATAAGTTTATTGATGTCAAAGATGATGGAATGTGGCTTGTCAAGGTCTTATCTTCTACATGATATCTTAACTTCACGATCTTTGCAGTTTTATGCGCCTTGGTGTGCTCATTGTAAAAGACTAGCACCAACATGGGAACATTTGGGACATGCATTACAGGATAAGAACCTGCCAATCAGAGTGGCAAAGATGGACTGCACCAGGTTTATCCCAAGCTTTCAGCTTGACAACATTTACTGATCTATAGGTTCAATGCAGCTTGTAATAGTTTAGATGTTAAGGGATATCCCACTATAATATTGTAAGTCATAAGTATTGAGTATCATCATTCTACTACTGTGTTCAGCTTCCGTAATGGACGCAAGATTGAGTTCCATGGAGATAGAACGAAGGAAGCTCTTGTTAACTTCTGTATCAAAAGTTATTCTCCACTCATTGAAAACGTTAATGCAGTGAAGTTAGGAGAGGTAAGATTGAAGTCTTGCCAAATTACCCTCTCCCTCATTACAGCTACGTAGAGATTATTCTAATGACCCTGTTTTCGTTCTCATTGGAGAGAAAGAGGATGGCTTCAGGCAGGAGTTCGAGAAAGTGGCCGAAAGCCTACTGTCAAAGGTAAAGGAAGATCTCTATGAACTGAAAATTGTTGTCTTTTGCAGACTCGCTTCTTCTCTGCTCGTGTTGAATCCGTTCCCGCAGCTTTGAAAACATCGAGAATCGCGGTTTTCAAAGATGAGCATCACATAGCTTATACAGGAGATGTTGAAGGCTTGAAGGAATGGGTTTTCCAAGAGAGATGGCCAATGTTACCTAAAGCTTCTCCATCCTCCATTTCTGATATTGCCACGAACAAGAAGTTGCTTGTCCTATGCATTGTCACTGAGGTTTCATATGAATTGAAGACATCACATCTCAACAACCCTTTTAGATGGATCGCTATAATAAGTCTTCTTCGATAGGAATTTTCTTTGATAAAGTAAACAAAGCAGCAGCAGAATTAAGAAAGAATAAGGTGTTGGACGAGATGTTCCAATTCGCTTGGGTTGATGGGCCGGAGATGACTTCGAGCATTGTTATGGGCGCCATGACAACTCCCGGTTAGATACAATTAGTTCAAATGTGATAATATGAGAATTCGATTCAGGCATGCTCGTCTTCAATTACTCCGCCTATGAATACTTCTTGTCATTGGATGAAGCCGAGCACATGACGCCTCAATCTATAGTGGAATGGTTGGAAGGCTTAGCCGATTCCATCAACAAAGGACTTGCCGTACCTATGGGAGGTATGTGTTCTAGTGTATCAACTTGTGGGTAATTCAAATGTTTCCAGGTCGTTCTTGGCCAATAAGAGTAAGAAGGATCGGCTATGAAATTTATTCAAATGTAATACAAATGTTTGCTACACAACCACTATTATCAGCATGCTTGTTCGGTGTCCCAATAGCTTTCTTCAGTATAATATGCTACAGGTAGAGGAAAAAAAAAGGAAATGTTAGAATTATTATTAATATTAAGTATCTGTTCGGCGGACTTTACGGTAGATAGAGAAGAGTTTTATCCCGATGATGAAGAAGAGTATGAAGAGGACCCCGACCATGAGAAACACGAATGAATTCAATACTTGCCGCATTTTTGTAAATATTTGAATATTTAAATACTATTTGTAAGATAAGCGTATTCTTCTGGTCAGTTGTATACGGTAGAACTTTCTCGTTAGTTCTCTTTTTAACAATAAATGATAGAAATCTGAATTAGAACATGGGCCCAACAAGAGGGGCAACTTCGAGGCCAGAATTAGCACTCCAAGTAGTATTAGTAAAAAATAAAATCTCTTCGCTCCGTTTGATCATTGCCAATTGGATGGCCAAAACGTTACTGTTCCTGGAAATTCAAAAAAAATGAAAAGGACGAGAAACGGTGAACTTACAAATCTGTTTTATCCAGCAGTTCCACACGCACATAGTTCTCCCCATCTTTGAGATTGGCAGCATAGTAGATCATTGGGTACTTGACCTTCTGTACGGGTTCCAGTGATTTACTGTTTATTTCACACCGGATTGAAAGTTCTGGCCAGCAACGGCATGTATACTGAAATAGCGATTAAAGTCTTCTCAAGGAACAGACGTTCACTTACCTTGCCTGCATCGTTGGCCTGGAAGTTACATACGTAAACAAAAAGTAAAAACATATATGTATCATTCGGAACATCGATTGAAGGTATATTATACTGTAAGTAAGATTGCGATTGTTGAAGCCAAAAAGGAAATTGATTACCGGAAAGAGGAAAACAGGGCCTTCGCTGCATGGAAATGTCACAATGGGGCATTGGAAAGTGCTCTCATTAATATCGATGACATTTCTGAAATATGATTATGTATAATCTAATGCCAGATTCACATTCTCACCTGAATAAACGGAATCTTGCAGCTTGAAGCAAGTCTCGCAATTGCTCACAATGCTTCTGTAATGCTTCATAAGCTCGTTTCTTCCTTTCTTCAGGAGCCTTTCTGCAACATGAAGGTTAGATCAATCATTGTTTTGAGACTATGAGAAACCTTCTCTCTTCCTGTTCCAGCTTTGCGAAGTTCGCGCCTTGTTGTAATAGAAGTTTCATCATCTTAGCATGATTCTTACGATAAGCCAGACGCAATGGAGTGATCCCATTGCGATCAGGAAAATTAATAGCACACCCGTGCCCTAACAAGCGGGCTACACGGCAAATCTGAAAGGGCGATCTGAAGAAAGGGAAATGAAAGAATGAAACATACGGCCCCGTTTTCAACACAAAAATGCAAAGCAGTGTAAAGGTTAGATTTCTCTTGATAGTCTATTATATTACCATATGTCGAGTTATCGCAAAGAAAAGAAATGTAGTCATCACCGGCATGGCTATCGTAGCATTTAACATATGCACAAAGCTGAAAATAGATTGTTCACAAGGCTGACCAGATTGAAACTTGCAGTATGAAGAAGTGTGAAACCAGTATCTAAGTTAGTCCATCGGATAAAGTTGTGGTAGAGGCCAGGAGCTTTATCCTCAGCTTTCAAGAAACGCAAAACAGCCAGAACCCTATATGGCTCTCCTTCGCGGATAAGGCTATTCAAAAACTGAAAAGCCGTTGTATGAGCTGATGTATTTGACTAACCATAGGTGTTAATTCGTTCTCACTATTCGTGATTGGCAAGTTCGCCGGAGGCAATTCGGTTTGTAAGTCATCCCAACTAAAGTCGGAACCATCAGAGATCTCAGACCTGCTGACTATCAAAACAGGAATCTGCTCAACTTAATCAGGAAATGAGCTGTCAATACATATAAATTTGTGAGAAACCTTTTGCTGAAGTTTCGGGTTTTGATTTGCGTTTTTTCTGTGTACTTTTTGATTTTTCTTCGGTAAGGCTGATTTTGTCTGCTGATCGGTTACCTTCTTTCTTGACCTTCGAGAAAAGTTTAAATGTTGTTTGAGAAATTTCGCTTACACTTTGCGAATCTTTGGGATTCTCAAGATTAGGCCCAGGGCTTCGAATCACAGAAAAAATTTCAACGATATCTTCACCCTGACTCTTCCCATCAGTCCTTTGCTCACCTTGTTGATCTTCTTCGACATCTTCGGGTTCACGAGAAGATGACTTGTCATTATCAATACGTCTTCGTTTGGGAATAGTATCTTTACCCGCACTCAGACGTAAAGTTCTCTTAGCTTTATCGGATACGACGTTATCGGATAACGCCTTGTCGGACACTACTTCTTCAGACACTTCACTGCTGGTCGAAGAAGGTTCAACACTTTCACGATTCGAGGGGGGGTTCCCCAACACGCTCGGAATAATTGATTTCATTTGTCTTCTTGTGACTCTCCTTTCAGAATTTACAAAAGCCAAAATCTGAAAAGTGACACTCAATCTACCCCTCACAATGGGTCTCCAACTGACCCTTTCAGTTGACGAGTTTTTGTGAGATGGATCAATCAATTTCTTTAATTCACCGGTAGCACCCGAAAAAGTTGTTCCGTAGAAGCTGTCATTAGCTTCTGGCTCTCTGCTTACTGTAATGTCAGCAGGATCGGGAAGCTAAAAAACAGTTGAGACCAAGATTTATTCTAGACGCATACATCCTCCACAATATATCCAACAGATCTTCGACTTGCACGTTGTCGACGACGATTCATGGCCCGAGCTCTTATTTGTTCTTTCAATGATTGCAGTTTATCGGCATGGGCAGCTTGGAACTCATCCATCATGCGGCTGAGCACAGGCTCATCTGGATACAATAAAACAGTTACGGTAGAAAAATTGATACTCACATCTGAAATGGCTTTCAGGCTCGTATGTGTCATCAGCTTCGGAATAATTTTGCCATCTTATTTTATATTTAATCTCGCCATCAACGAGGTCGACACCAACGATAGCTTCAACAATGTAGTAGACACCTTCTGTTGACTGAGGACTGATATACAGCTAATACAAAAAATTTAGAAAACAAAAAAATAAGAAATTTGAATACCTCAGCTTCTACTCCATCGATAGGCGGAATCATCGTGCAGCGCGCCAACAACGTTCAGCAGTTCTGAATTGGAAAGTCGATAAATGGCGTCGCGGAATGTAGCTACAGTAACTTTGATCGACGTCGCACTGAAAATGCCAGATTTGATAAACCTTTTCAATAAGACGACAATCCTTTAAAAAATGCTTTTTACATGAATCAATATGTATTTTACAATATTTAAAATATTTAATTAACCCAGAAAGTATGAACATAGTTTCAGATGCTTAAATCAAGTTTCTCTCTTGCGTGTCGTCAAGCCGTTTTTGTTCGTTCCTTATCAAGCAGTGGTAAGGATCTTCCACAAACTCGCCTTCACGATGCCAAAAGAAAGGAATTGAACTCGATCTTGGAGGCACCTGCTCCTAAGGTAATATTTTATATCTCACACACAGCGTCAACATATTTTTTGTAGGTTCCAATCACCATCAATGCTGAGGAAACCATGGAAATCGCTGGCGTCCCTCTCGAGCATCAAGAGGAACGTGTTGCCCGCATTTTCCGTCCTGCTCGTGAAGCAACTCAAACTCCTTGGAATAACACAAAGGTTGGTAGTTTCATTTTTAATTATTATCAAAGTTGATATTTAAAGGCCTGGAGAATCGAATTAGACAACAGAGCTCGTTTTGAGAATCCTCTGATGGGATGGAGTGGAACGTAAGTTGTGTTCTTTTTTCTTTTCTATTTTTTGTATCTAGAGCTGATCCCCTTTCTAATGTTGGCATGCATATGAAGTTTGCGAGCAAGGAAGAGGCTATTGCTTTCTGTGAGAAGAACAGATGGACCTTTGAGATTGAGGTATATGAGCAACTTAGTTTCAAATACAAATTTTTCTTTTTAGGAAGTTCACGAACGCCAAATAAAGCCCAAAAATTATGGAATCAATTTTTCGTGGAACAAAAAAGGCCGCATCAGTACAAAGTAGAGGATGATAGATTTATAAGATAGATTTGGTCTGCAATAAATATAGTAAATAAGTTATTTTGATCTCTCAGTGGTTCTCTATCCAATACTTGTTTTGTTTGCGGTTTACAATTTTCATTCTCATATATCTTAGATGTCATTAGCATTTGCGCCTACACAAGTTCGGCAGGGAGCACCAGACCAACAAGCCACTGTACAAAAGCTTTTAGATGAAAATTCACAGCTGATAACAAAAATTAAAGAATGCCAAGATCAGGTATTTCCAAACTATCCATTGATCTTCAATCAATCCTTCTATTTCAGGGAAGAGCGGAAGAGTCTGTACTCCATCAACAACTACTTCATAGGAATCTTGTTTGGTTAGCTAAGTTAGCAGATCAATCCCTATTGAGCATTCTCAAGGTGCAATTTATTATTATTTTTAAACTCTTTCATAATGCTTGGTACAGGAGGAAGAACCTACTAGTGCCACTCAACAACCGACATCTGTAGACCCAACTTCACAGGCAACGAATAGTCAAGGTAATATTTTTCTATTAGTTTTTGAATTATTTCTTTCTTATAGCTGCTAGTTTATCACCGAATATTTCACAATCTACTGCCAATACACCTCAGCCAATGCAAGCCGGTACTCCAGGCTCAGTGCTATCTGCACCCGGTAGTGTTCCACCACCAGGAATGCCACCTCACCTCCAACAGCCCGGACCCCCCTCCCAGCAAGGGCATCCAGGAGTTCCTCAACCAGGGCAGCCCCATCCTGGTCAACAGGGTCATCCCGGTCAACAACCTCATCACGGTCAGCAGCCTCATCCTGGCCAGCAGCCCCATCCTGGTCAGCAACCTCATCCTGGACCCCATCCTGGCCAGCAGCCTCATCATGGCCAGCAGCCTCATCCTGGTCAGCAACCTCATCCTGGACAACAAGCTCCTCACCCTGGTCAACAACCCCACCCAGGCCAACAACCTCACCCAGGCCAGCAACAACCCCATCATGGCCAACAGGGTCCTCACCCCGGTCAGCAACATCCTGGACAACAACATCCCGGACAGCAACCTCATCCCGGACAACCACATCCCGGACAACCTCATCCTGGACAACCTCATCCCGGTCAAGCTCATCCAGGACAGCCTCATCCTGGACAACCCCATCCAGGACAGCCTCATCCTGGACAACCTCATCCCGGACAGCAACCTCATCCAGGCCAGCAGCATCCTCCTCAAATGATGGCTCATCAGTACCCTCCACAGAACCCTGGACAGGGAGGTCCACCATCTAATCCAGGAATGCCATATTCGCAAATGGTGATGCCTCCTCAGCCATACGGTGGATACCATCAGGTTAGTTTATTTTGAATAATTTTTGCTAATCCAATTCGTTCTAGCAAGGAATGCAGCCCAACCCTTATCAACAACAAGGAGGTTATATGCATCATGATGTTATGCATCCACCTCATCAGCAACATAACAATCAACAAGGCCAACCTTCTAATTTCATGAATCTCCCTCGCTAACTCAGTATCTCATTCAAACGTGTGCAAAAATTCCATTTTATCGTATGTTTTAAAATTAACATTCTGTAATTAAATATTCCGTCTACCTTTGGCACATTTAATATGGCATTGCACATATACACATATAAGCTATACGATTCGTAAAAACATATCAGATTGTCATGAGCAGTTACAACCCTACTTCCATAAAACAAAGTAAATACAAGTTTCTATCACGTGGTACTTAGTCCACTTCATCCGGTAGTTGTGACAAGTAATTCTCATTAAAATGCACCACAATAACGGAAATGTCGTCGCGGTAGTTTCGAGCTCGGCCAGGTGGCATCTGAAAGCATACGTTCACACTCACACTATGCACACCTTGCAAACTCACTTGTAGTATATCAATTAATCGTTCGTATTGCCTACTAGCACCTCCTGTGATCCCTCCCAAAGCATGACGAATGATGTGAGTCGCACAATTGTCATCAATCGGTTTTTTTTGCTTCTGTTCTCCTTTTTTACGATCTCGCAACTCTTTGTAAACCTTAATTTGAATTTGTTCTTAAACATTATTCATTGGAAAAAGAAAAACCTCTTTCAGACTTGTAGAAGGCTTGGGTTGGTAAGGTTGCAATGTCTGTGTTCCTAATGTATGGTCATGCACAAGACGAACCACAGTATCGGGGTCTAACCACTCCCATAATCCGTCTGTTGCTAACACCAAAAATTTATCGTTCTGTGTTAATTTGTGATAGAACACTTCAGGAGACGCCGTCAAATAAGGAGGTGTCAAAAGGTTTGGAGGAGGTGGGCTTCCCAATGGTTCTAGAACGACCTGAAAGAGGGAGAAGCTTATAGAGTGATGGAGATTCAATACCTTCTGAAGGTTCAATGGCCACTTGTAGCGAACATCTCCAAATGCTCTAAGTGGGAATAATTCTCCTAATAAACGTCCACCACGCAAAATGTTGGTCTCCGATCTCGGATGGGCATTTCTTATGCGTTGTACCTATCGTCAAGTTCAGAAAACTGTTCTTAAAAGACTGATACCTCGTCGGGATTATCTATGCAATGAGCTCGTGAGAGCTGCCTCGCTGTAACGCCTCCGTTCGCACTGGATATTCCTTAATTACCAATTTTATAAGTAAATTGGACAAATTAAAACCTAAAACGGCAGCACCGTCTCCCGAATTAGCTACATGAAGATGGTTCGAACGAATATGGGCTAGTGTTGAACAAGATCCGGAAGCTGCAATCCGCACAGAAAACCTATTGTATAACACGATGAACTGATCAAAAAGAACATTCTAAACCTGTCTACGAGTCCTTTGGCATCCGGCAAAGCTGCTTGAGACAAATCTTCATCACATGCCTCGAAAGCGGACTAAAAGGAGACTTCAGTTTTGTACGGAACGGCAAAATGTTGGGCTCACTTTAAGAGCTTCGCGGACTGTGCCCAAGTAGAAATCGTTGCTCCGTACAAACTTATTGTAATACTTCATTACAGCTCCACTTTTCGTTTTTCTACAATCGTACAGAGTAGTCGTGTATTACTGTTTGAATACTTACAAGAACTGATTAGGATGAACATCTGCACTACTGAAAATCCATTCCAAACGCTTCTCCAAGTTGATCTCTTCCACCTTCAGAATTGGTAATGAGTTCAAAACATTCAAATACGAAGCCGAACCTCATGTTTTTTCAACACAGAAGCGCACAAATAAGGATATAAATTGGTTGATATATGTCGACTACACTGGGGACCTCCATGCCCGTCGAAAACTCCGACTAATAGAGCACGCGATGATAAGCCTGCGCCATGAAAGATAAAACTTGAAACTTGAGTAACTATTAGCTTACATTTCGCTGCAGAATAGAAATCTTCAATGGGACTATTAGCTGCTAATTGGCAAGTATCAATACGTAATATGGCATCTTCTTCAATAGACACAGATCGTTCATGAGCTCTGAAAACATAGGCAAATGAACGGAATGAGAGACGACATCTAGATAACCTAAGATGAGCATCCGCATTCCAACGAGAATTTCTTGCGCCTCTTGTGATATGAACAGATGATCTGACAACCTGCATCACATCTGTACTCGTAGATTATTCCACAAATAGTGTCTAATAAGAAAAAACTTCAATTATGAAAGCAGTCAAACCATGCAGGCTTCTTTGTGTAACGAGGGAGGCAAGATAAGTTATTTGCATATATATGTAATATTCGTTCAACAATTTTTATTTCTAATATTTGACCGGAGAGAATTAAGCATTTTCAAACTTCTGCAACTTCAACTTTCATAACAAAAACCATCCACTATGTTATTTTGTGTGTTCATTAAAACTTAAAACATGAAAGCCCATAAACATCCGTTTCATTCTGAAAATTAAAAAAAATGTGTGTGCAGCGTACGCAGTATTACGTCAGAGCTTGAACTGGATGTGTTCTAACCTCTGTTACTACTGATTATGATTATCTTTTAACTATGCTTACTATGCGGAAGTTACTAAAGCATGGATCTCCTGAGATTTCTCTCTGAGTGGAGATCCAATAACGATCAGAAACGATACAAGAACGTATAACTGATTAGTATTGTTAGATGCTTAAAACTCTACTTATCTAAGTTCTGGTTCTGTGGAGCTGCACACAACTTTTTAAATTAACGACCGAGGCGGATACTCAAACTGCTCTCATGGTTTGCAAACTCTTCAACGAACAACCTACATGTGAGAATAACCTTTACCAATAGCATATATGAATACTATGGAGACCATATTGGACTTCTAAGAAAAGGTTGTTACTTAACTGCAAAAATCAAGTTTGTTTAAAGTTGACTATTGATGTGGGATTTATCATGTGCTAGACGTGAGGTCTTCAATTTTTAACATTCATTCATGATGTGTAATGAATACTCGCGTTGTTGTGATGAGGAGGAACAAAGGTTTTTCGCTGTCAGCTTTCCGGAAGGGCAGTCATACGGTGTCACGAGGGAAAGAACTATATTTGGCATAGATATGGAAATTGTTTTAAAAACTGAACTGCTCCCCAGCCTCCACCCAACTGTTGCATGTGATATGAATTGTTTCCAATTAATGTTGTACAAACTGGAAAGGGATTTCTGTATTATCTTCGCATTATGTAGTCAATTTTAATAAATATTATAATTTCATAGGCTGTACTCTGACCATTTGTATTTGAAAACACATTCATAACACTCGTGAGATTCTCCTCATTAGTTTGAGGTAAAGGACTGCTGTCATAGTTTTTTCAAAAAAAAAAAGGTTATACTCGCGTGTGCTTTCTACGATAACAACTGGCTTTATTGGTCTTCGAGATTTGCTGAGAAAACATTCCTTCCTTACTATTTGTATTTTTTTGTTTCGTGTTTTGTGCTGCTCATTTTATGACGTACAGAGAGATGAAAAGGGAAGTCATCTGCCCTGTCGTAGAATTCTGTAAATGGTAGAGAATGATACTTCTTCTCTTTTCTCTTTCTCTCCCTTTCTCTCATTGTCAACAAACCATAACATCTTTTTTACAAATCGAACGTTACTTTACTCTTCTCCGCTAATTCCTCTCTTATTCTACGACAGTCTCGGTTTTAAAAATACGAATTAAGGATGTGTTGAGATCAGGTTATGGAACAGACAGCAAATGGAAAGTAGTTGACGACGAACAATCGATTCATACAACCCCGAAAACACAATGATTCGTCCACTTCACCTCCATCCTCTTCATATCTGAGCTAAACATCATTCGATTAACCAAGGTGCATTTCTTATTTCATTTCCTCACCTTCACTTTCCATCTAACCTCTCCGTCCATATATTTCCATCGTGTTGCATTAGAAAGTACAACAACTTACTGTTTCAGAGTATTACTGATATATTTCCGACAACCTCATCAATCCAGTCACTAGCTGCTCGCTTATATGGGCATGACAAGTGCCAAAATAGAAGATAAAAAAGTTGCTGATGAGAATGGTAATGACGAGACATTAGATACTATTTCTCAATCCAATTTATCAAACATAATTGCAGTCGAAAATGGTAGAAATGTTGAAGTTCAACCATTGCCCTCGAGGCAATTCTCATGTACTATTGTATATACAATTATGATAATTATTTTATTTATTATATTAATAATATCAGCTATAACGACATTCGATAATTACTATGATACTGTCAACAATCAGAATATTGTTATGAAGGAGATGAATAAAACTATTTGAACACTCAACCTGTTCATCTGAATATCTCACTATCTATCTCTTTATCTCTCTCTCTTCTCTTTCTGTTTTTTTTCTTCAGAATTCTGTAATTCGACAATACTTATAGATAATCTCAATGTTATGTTCTTACATCATGTTCTGAAGAGATTTACTATCAAATACGATTTCAATCCTTCAAAATAAGCATCTCATTTCTCACTATCGCACTTAGCTTCTCCACGAAAAACTGTGAACGAGAAAATCGTTTCAGATTTGTAGCTATACAAAACAACTTCCTCAAGTCCTTTTAATACGAATCTATATATATCATAGCTAATTCTGTATACACTATATATGAAAAAGATATTTCCAGTTCAGGCTTTGCTTTACGATAGCACTGTTTGCTAGACGTGTGTATCATGTAGGAATGAAACAGACGAAGCAGATGAAACATTTCAGGTTTAGGCTAAGCCGTAACATAAAGAAACCTGAACTGTATCTGAATGTTCATTGTGCAGTTGGAATGCAACCATTAGGTGCGTTGAAGATAATAAAATTAATTTATATTAAAATATTAAAATAAAACATACCAGTTATCATGAAACACATGCATATCTATTACTTACACAGCTCTGTATCGATTCAATTAGTATTACGTATTGATTAGTTTTGATAGACCCAAGTACATTGTGCGATATCAATCAATATCAAGATTTCCACTGTGCATCACACAGAGTATCATGCGTATATCACATTATTGTCACTCTTTTTTCTCTTGAGAGCTGGTAACATCTCCCCTCTTATTCTTCTTCTCCTCCATCTTATCACAGAACTTTTCGAAACAGTAAAAGCCATCACTTATAATGTTCTTAGCCAGATCTAGACCACTCGTAAACTCCGCTTCTTGTGTAGCCAGACTGGCTCTCATTCGTGATCTAAATTAGTCTTCATTATCATAACATCATTTGAACTCACGAGTTGTCACAGCATTTGTAAAGTGAAGTATCTTTATTACAAGAACAATCTGTGTTATCTTGAGTTAACAATGATTCTTCTAAGAAGCTGTTTGAGTCAGTAGAATCATTGAGAGAAGTGCGAAAACCTGAACGGCGGTTACAAAGAAAGTGATTGTTGGCTTACTAATGAGTTTCCCAATTCTGTCCTTATATTCAGGGTCTTGGTCGAGGTTTTCAGTTTTCAATTTAACTTCAGGACTACATTCAATGTCTGATTGATCGAATCCTAAGTTTTTCAATCTGCTTTTCAGC